GTCTCAATGCATAGCTGTAAGGGCATTTGAAGTCCTCTCTTTGGCAAAGAAACACTGGCAAATTCTGGCGTTTCTAGATCTTGCTTGGCATACGAATGTGCATGCAGCAGGTAAGAAGATACACATACGTAGTTCAGAGGTAGGTCTGCTTTCTTCTTTTAAATTATATATTTTTTATTGATTTCAGAGAGGAAGAGAGAGAAACATCAGTGATGAGAGAGAATCAGGGATCAGCTGCCTCCTGCCCAGCTCCTTCTGGGGATGGAGTCCACAGTTCAGGCACGTGCCCCGATCGGGAATAGAACAGTGACCTCCTGACTCATAGGCCAATGCGCAACCACTGACCCACACCGGCTAGTGGTGAGTCTGCTTTCTTGATAAAGATAATTGATCCACTTTAATTTGACACACTGACAAGATGCTAGGCAGCAAAAGCGAGAGGAGGAAAGAGAACGAAGAGCAATTACATGCCCAACGGGCACTTGACGTACGTTGACGCGTTTAATCCTCACAATTATCTGCAGTTATTAGCCCTGCTCTTAGAAGAAGGAATTGAAACTGAGCAAGTCTTAGTAACCTGCTTACGGTCACCCCACAAGTCACTGGGAGAGGCCCTCTTCTTTCCACTACTCAAAATTCCCAGCCAGGGTGCCGGGGTGGGAGCCCATGGAAATATTGGGGTGTGGTGGTTGTATGACTATTCCCAGGAAGCAGCCAGAGCTACCCAGTTGTTCCTCCAAGTCCCTCTCCATCTGCACCCCCGTCTTTGTGCGCTTGTGTGTCTGTCTGAGGCTGTCTGCAGACATATGGATCACAGGTTCCTGCCCCATGAATCAGACAGGCAGGCAGCTCAGAGAGTCTTCTCCCCTCCGACCTGTGGCCCTCCCCGTGCCAACTGGAAATGTGGGTGTGGGGAGTCTATTGGGCACTGGCATGGTGGAGGGATGGAGGAGAAGCTCGGGCGGGATGTGTAGGACCAACAGCTACTCTGAGGATGCTCTCCGATGTGGAGACGCAGCCGTGGGGAAGGGCTCAGTGAGGAGACGTGCCTGTGCATGGCCTGAGCGAGTGCCCATCCATGAGCTCACCGTTTCAGAATCGGTGCAACGGAAAACCCACTGTTTAGCCTATCCAAGGTCCTACCTGTGCCCTGCCCGGGAATCGAACCAGCAACCTTTCGCTGCATGGAATGACCCCCAACCAACCAAGCCACACACCCGCTAGGGCCCCAACTTCATTTCTTTGTGAGCTTAACTGTGTCTTCACATTTTAAGTCACTGGACTAGTCATCATATGGTTTGGGGATTATTGGCTCTGCATTAAAAACAAACAAACAAACAAACAAAAAAACAACCACCACCAAGTGATATTTATATTTTACAAATAAACACCTTGCAACAATGTGTGTCAATAGATCAGTGTACATATTACTATATTCGGAACATACCTATGTTTGTGTGTACCTAGGAACCATGACGAAGTCTATCTCTATAATTTGGGGTGGACAGCTGTGAGGGGAGACTTTGTTATATGTTTCTGAGCTGCTTTAAGTCCCTGGCACGCCCCTGGGCACCAGCCTACCACAAAGGTACTCCGTTTTTTTCTGATCCAAAACAGACTCCCTAAGCGACCAAACATCCAGCAGGAAACTATTTCTAGGTCACGGGATATACACGGTCATGCGAGAGCCATCCTACTACAGCAAAACGCTGGTGAGGGTCATGCTTAAACGATGTCTTCGGTTTAGCACAGTCCTTACGCGCTCTCCTGGGCGGATCACATGCCTGCATTCTCACAAGCGAACGTGCAGGGTCCAAGGGCGGCCGGCAGCTGTCTTCAGTCAACGTGGCCACATAGTGCGAATTCTCGGGAAAAGAGAAAGACAAACTTCATACATAGTGTTACACATGATCCGCCCTCTCAGAAACCAAAGGAACCCTCCCCAACCCCGGCAAACTGCGGCTCTTTGGCCCCTTGAGTGTGGCTCTCCCACGAAATACCGCAGCCTGGGTGAGTCTATGTTGAAGAAGTGGCCATTAGAAGAAGTTTAAGTTTAAAAAACTTGGCTCTCCAAAGAAATTTCAATCGTCGTACTGTTGATATTTGGCTCTGTGGACGAATGAGTTTGCCGACCCCTGCACTGATGGATACAGTGGCTCCTATTCTTAAAACCTGAATTTGATCTGTAGCCAGCATATCAATATGTGGCTGGACTATCTCACAGAGCTTTTGTGCAAATAAAAGGGGGTGTGCACGTGCTTTGTGGAATTAAAGCTCCGGGCCAGTGCTGTTCTGTTGGAAATCAAGTCGTGTCTGAAAGCAGAAAAAGACAGCAAGCAGCTGGCTAGCGTCTCTTTCGTCTCACATTCCTGCGCCCCATGGGTCTGCCTTTAGGGAGACTCGGTGCGCTGCCGACACACATGCCTGCCCTGACGCCCGTTGCAGCCTTGCTTGTTCCTTCCGCACCCTGGAGACAGGCACCACACACCCCGCAAGCACACAGCGCCTCGCCGCAGTGACTGGACGTATGGGCAGCGGTGAGCAGCAGTCCTCCTGACTCCCCCAAACATTGACTGGCGTCATGTGGCCTTGTGTGTGCATGCCCCAGACATCAGAAGGCGCTCTAGCTAGCTGGTGGGAGACCGTGTAACATGTGTAACACTATGTATGGCTTTGTCACAAGTCACATCAGATCGTTGGGTCAAGAGCCCTGAAACTATAGACTTCGGTGAAGGCAGTTGCCTTAAATCACTATCATTTATCAGACGGTGGGGTTTTTTTCTTTTTTTTTTTTTTAATGAAGGTTTTCATTAAGTTTAAGCATAAGCTTTATGGCCCAAGCTATCTATAATAACAAAAGCATAATATGTTAATTAGATTGGACAGCCCAACGACCTTCGGGACATCATTCCGGATGTCCTTCCTGACGTAGACGTGGCTGCGAGGGCTGAGGCAGAGGTGGTTAGGGGCAATTAGGCAGGCAGGTGAGTGTTTAGGGGCATTAGGCAGGAATCCAGAGTGGTTAGGGGCATCAGGCAGGCAAGCTAGCGGTTAGGAGCCAGTGGTCCCAGATTGCGAGAGGGTGCAGGCTGAGCAGGCTCCCTGCCCCTCCCCTCTTTGCACGAATTTCATGCACTGGGCCTCTAGTTTTGTTTTTGTTTGTTTTTTTTAAAATATATTTTATTGATTTTGTACACAGAGGAAGGGAGAGAGATACAGAGTTAGAAACATCAATGAGAGAGAGTCATCGATCAGCTGCCTCTTGCACACCCCCCACTGGGGATATGCCCGCAACCAAGGTACATGCCCTTGACTGGAATCGAACCTGGGACCCTTCAGTCCCCAAGCCGACGCTCTATCCATTGAGCCAAACCGGTCCCGGCACTGGGCCTCTAGTTTTAAAATAACAGCAATTACTTTCAACCTACCAGAGGACAGGAGCATCAAAAAAATGGTCTTTCCCTGAATTAATCGCTAAGATTAGTGTAATTCTTATCACATTTTCATTCCCACTTGAGGGCTCCCCATATTTCCTCAAGGCTCTCCTCTACACTCAGTCACTTACCTGCCGCAATGTCACCTTTCCCAGAAGGCCTACCCCCTCCCCTTCTAAAACACCTGCCCGGTCTTTACAACCCACTATCATTGTCCTCATAGAATTCGTCACCACCTGGCATCATACATTTATTTCTTTACCGTCTACCTCCCAGACTGAAATGTAAAGTACCATGAAGGTGGGACTTTATAGTATTCACTGCTATCTCCCCAGCCTTAGCCCAGGCTGTGGCCCACCATAGATTCTCTTTACTAGGGGTGTCGAACTCAATCAGAGAAGGGGCCAAAATCTAAAATCCAGCCTAAATCGCGGGCCGAATGGTTTACTGAACAGTCATAAACTGTCATTGTGATGGAAACACAGCGGAGTGCAGTGATGACAGTGCGGTGCGGGCCACATTGCAAGGCCTGGCGGGACAGATTTGGCCCGCGGGCCCTGTGTTTGACACATGTGCTTTAAACACTTAAGGCAAAGTTGAATACAGGATTGGATGAATGCGTGTAGATTCCCTCTCACCCTGTGTCCCACCCACTCCTTCTCCACAGGTGATCACTGTGAATAGTCTGGGAACTAACTTCCTGGGCTTCTTAAAAAAAAAAAAAAAAAAAAAAAAAAGGCATTTGCAAACGCAGACACACACTTTTTTATGATAATGCAAATTGTTTGTTCTATTCCTTCATTTTTCTCTCCATAATATACTTCTGAAATTTAATAATGGCAGCTTATAGGTAATTTACCCATCGGTGTAAATAGTTCTTCTTAACAATTACATTGTAGTCCATACTATAGATGTACCATGACTTACTTAACCATTTTCCTATTGATAGATACTAGTATATGGGTCACTTCCCCCTGTTCACGATTATAAACAAGGCTGCAGTGGATTTGCTTGTACTTAAATCTTTGTGCCCATAGCAGATAGGTCTCAAATGATGAAATAGCCTCGCCCACATTTTGATAGATACTGCTTACTTTGTCCTTCTCAAAAATTATACTGTTTTACACACTCACCAATAATATATGAGGGCCCATTTCTCCATATTCGCAAAATACCCAAGTTTGTCTATTTCGGACCTAGGTTGGTTTTCTCAAGTGTGTGGTTCTAGCTTTTTCTGACTACTTTTTCACCTGCCCAGTCCTCCTGGCCCATGTCTCTGAAACCATAAGTTGGGGGATCAGAAGAGAGGGGGTGGGGAAGAGCCACTGAAAACCCCAGGTGCTTCTGGCTAGGGGGGGCTGGAATGTCCTCCCTCGCCAGGCTGAGCGCATCTGCACGCTTGCTGCCCACCCTGCCATTACAGGTCTTGAGTTGCTGCTGCTTCTCCTCCCTCCTTCCCATCTGGAGGCCCCGCCAGGCAGGGTCTCAGCAAGTGGTCCTCCAAGGGCCCTGGCCTCCTCCCTCCCTGGCCCCCCTGGGTGACCTGCCTCCCTGCTTGTCTTCCAGGCCCCGCCTCCCTCCGGGCATACCCTCTCCTCTCCGTGATCACCCGACAGCCCGCCGTCATCTCTCACCTGGTCCCCGCCACCCCGGGAATCGCCCAGACGCTGTCCTGCCACCCCGCTGCCCCCGAGGCGGCCCCCGCCGAGGCCCCGGGCGGGGAGGCGCTGGGCAGCAGCGAGTCCGAGACGGAGCAGCTCACCCCGCGGCAGAAGAAACCCCGCCGGAGCCGCACCATCTTCACGGAGCTGCAGCTCATGGGCCTGGAGAAGAAATTTCAGAAGCAGAAGTACTTGTCCACCCCAGACAGGTGAGGCCCCGGAGAAGGCAGGCTGTCCGCAGTTCAGGGCCTTGAGAGGGGAGACCCCTTTTGCTCATGTCATGGCACACCCAGGCACAAGGACTGGGACATGCAGGACGCTGTGGCAGGGTCTGGTCCTTGGCCCACATCTTCTCAGCCTTGGTAGGACAGCGGCCGACCCAGAGGAACCTGCCTGTTGCCGAACTTGTACCCCTCACTGTCTCTCCCTATTTTAACGTAACCACTCCAGTATAAGCAGGAAGGTGACGTTTAGTAGATGGTTGGGAAGAAGATTGGTTTGTGTAGTCCCTCGCACCCAGGACCAGATGCAGTGGGACCTGATGGGGAGCTGGGATCCATGCTCTCAGCCTTCTCCTCACAGGTCAGCTCCTGGTGGATAGGCTGGATGGACAGGGTGGAGGAGCTGTCAAATGTCCTGGTGCGTAGGATGGGTATCAAGTCAGAGGCACTAAAAGGACTTGGATCACATCCCTTTCTTGATGCTTGAGATCCAGATGAGGGGAGTGTGGCACCTGCTTCCTCAGAGGCTATAGCCTCAGCCGCATGCTTTAACTTAGCATCTTAACCGCAAAATACTCAATGTCTTGTCTTGTTCCTCAAACTCCCTCTGGAGAAGGCTGAGCTTGTTTTTGTTGTTGTTTTGTTTTTATATTTTTTATTGATTTTTTTACAGAGAGGAAGGGAGAGGGAGAGAGAGAAACATCGATCAGCTGCCTCCCGCACACCCTCTACTGGGGATGTGCCCGCAACCACAGTGCATGCCCTTGACTGAAATTAAACCCGGGATCCTTGAGTCTGCAGGCCGACGCTCTATTCACTGAGCCAAACTAGTTAGGGCTAGAGAACAATTTTGAACGTAGAAGGGACAGAATAGATCTTGCCATGAGGAAGAGAAACAGGGTTGAGCATTCCGGGGTACCTGGATGGGGCCACCAGGGAATCAGGGGCATCATGACCTAAAGTTGGAGGGTGGGGACAGAGTGGGTTTTACAGACAAAGAGTGAGTTCTGGTTGGACGTGAGAGTGTGATGGACAGTGGAGACGGGTCTGAGTATTGGGGATCGATAGAAGGGATCTCTAGGTACCAAGGGCAGCATTCATGCCCAGCATGTAATGAAGAGCCTCACATACCTGAGGAGCCAGGTGGAGTGGGCACTGCGGGGTGGTCTGTTAAAAGGCCTTCAAGATGCCAGGTGCCATTTTTGGCTTAGAAGTCAGAGGATTTTTATTTTTAAAATATATATTTTATTGATTTTTTACAGAGAGGAAGGGAGAGGGATAGAGAGTTAGAAACATCAATGAGGAGAGAATCATCCATCAGCTGCCTCTTGCACATCCCTTACCGGGGATGTGCCCGCAACCAAGGTACATGCCCTTGACCGGAATCGAACCCGGGACCTCTCTGTGGCCGATGCTCTATCCACTGAGCCAAACCGGTTTCAGCAAAGTCAGAGAATTTTTAAACAGAAATGGTAGTTCCCAGCCAAGCTCCTGAGCTTCCTGCTCCCTGCCCAGGTGGCTCTCAGGTGACCTACTCAGGACTGATGAACTTCCCGGGGGGAGGAGGACACCGCATGGCTGGCATCGGACCTGCCGCCTTAACCTGCCCTCAGGCATCCCTCACCTCTGTACGTGACCAGAGCCATGAGCACGGCCTCCTCCCACGGCTCGCTCCCTCGTCCTCATTGTTTGTTTCTCCGGTTTCCTAGGTGACCCCGGTTAAGTGAATACGCAGGGAAGTGAGAATTTGTAACGGTGGCAGGTAATGAGAGGAAACCGATGACAGTGAAGTGTTTCTCCAGCCAGAGCGAGCCAAGGGTGCATTTTTCCCAAGTGAGCTAACCCGTGTGCTAGCTCGGTGGCAGGGCTGTGAACTGGATCTTCCACTGATGACTGCCCCTGATGGCCTCCGGTCAACCGGCTCTGGAGGCTCAACGGGAGCCCGGGGGGACCCGTCTCCAGGGAGGCCATAAGGCCTGGAGTTTGCCCCCTGGGTTCTTCCTGAGTGGCTCTCTTTGAGCCTCTGATCTCTGTCTGTACAATGGGAATAACTATACCTATTTCACAGTGTTATGAAAGGAATAAGTAAGATAGCACATGTCAGGTGCTTTCCACATGGCCTGGGCGCTATGGTACCCAGGCAACCATTGCTGTGTTGCTGGAAATTGCTCCGACGGCACCTTTCCCAGGAATGGTTTTGACACTCAAGACTTTCAGAAGGCTGCGAAGACTTGCTGAACCACAGGAAGCAGGAGGGGCTGCAGACTTAATGTGTGTGTGTGTGTTTTTGTTTTTTTTTTGGGGGGGGGGGATCTGGCATCATGACAATAATTTAGGGAAGCAACAGTGAGCCTATCAGAAAGCGTGTTTGAGCCACCGTTCTGGATTTAGAACGTGATAGGCACGTTTGTGGTTACGAAAGACGCAGAGGACATACACTGCTCTTGCAGTTGAATTAGGGAGGCAGCAATCACTGATGTGAAGCAATAAGAGACCAGCTGGGAACGTGGAGCCACCTGGGTGGTGGCTGGCCCGGGGGAGGAGGTAGAGGAGACATCCCACCTGAGCTGGGCGTGTCCGGGAGGCTCGCCTGCAGGAGGTGGGACTTGAGCTGGACCTGGAATGATGAGTGGGATTCCAATTAGGGAAATACGGCTTCTGGGTCAGAAGCTTCATTTTGTACAGAATCAGAGTAAGGCTTTGTAGGAAAAGGACTTCGCAATGAAGACTCACGTAGACAGTCCTTGGACCTCCGCCTCTAGCTTCCCAGAGTTTCAAACATTGGATTTTTGGAAGAAAAGCAAGGCTCTTTGAGGAAGAATTGGTTTTAAAGGGGAAGACCTGAATTTCAACCCAGTTGCCAGGATCCCATCTCTACCACCCTTTCTCTTCCTCCTCATCTTCTTTTGTGCCTTTTGCCTTCTAGGTTGGACTTGGCCCAGGCTCTGGGACTCACCCAACTGCAGGTGAAGACCTGGTATCAGAATCGCAGGATGAAATGGAAGAAAATGGTAAGAAAGGAGAGAGGGAGTCCAACCACGAGCCTGTCATGGCAGAACGAATCCTTCCAGCAGGCCTGGGAAGAAGGCAGGGAGGACCACGTGGTTTGGGCTCATGGGATCGGAAGGCCTTTTATGGCGCCGGCTGGGAGGCAGGGGTTGTGAGCAGAAGGATAAGCCATGCCTCCTGACCTGGATTTCCTGATCAGAGGGATGTCCTTTTCTGGTTTCCTTAGAAATAACAGAAAGTGAAAGGCCACAAGCTTCTCAGTTGCTAGATTTACCCCCACCTGCTAGCCTTTTCAAAGCACTTCCTTCCGCCTCCCACCCGCAGCTAAGAATAGACGTCAGTACTCTTTGTTGATAATGACATCCAGGGCACATTTGTTCTCATAGCTGTGTGTCCTCTAATGCAGGGATTCTCAAACTTCAGCGGGCACCAAAGTGACCTGGGTGGCAGGTGACAATGCACAACCCAGGCCCCTCCCAGGACTCTGAGTCCCTGTCACAGGACAGGGTGGGAATGTGCACTATCAAGCACTCAGGTTCCTCTGATGCACGTGGTAGAATGACTGCCTTTCCCTAATACTGATCTAGTGCCTGGCTCATGAGTCCGTCCATCTTTGTTTTTTATTTATTTTTATTTTTAAAAATATATATCTTATTGATTTTTTACAGAGAAGAAGGGAGAAGGAGAGTTAGAAGCATCAATGAGCAAGAAACATCAATCAGCTAGCTGCCTCCTACACACTCCCTACTGGGGATGTGCCCACAACCAAGGTACATGCCCTTGACTGGAATCAAACCTGGGACCCTTCAGGCCACAGGCCGATGCTCTATCTGCTGAGCCAAATGGGTTAGGGCTATTTATTTTAGTTTTTAAAAATATTTTTATTGATTTCAGAGAATGGGGAGAGACATGGAAACATCATTGATGGGAGAGAATTATTGATCAGCTGCCTCTTGCATGCTCCACACTGGGGACCAAGCCCTCAACTCTCGCATGTGACCTGACTGGGAATTGAACCGTGACCTGGGTCAAAACCGTTCATGGGTCACCACCCAACCACTGAGCTATGCCAGCCAGGCCCATCTTTGTTTTTTAAAAGAACTTATTAGAGTAGATATCACTAAAAGAAAGAATAAACATCAGCATTTGAGGAACTCAATTTTTATAGTCATGTTAAATCAGAGTTTTCCAAAGTAGTTGAGTGTTTCATTTCCAGTTTTGTAAGCCACAAGGGACAAGGTCAAGGCCCAGAGGAAAGGGGCGGGGCCGGATGAGGGTGGGAAGAAACTCTGCTCCATTGTTCAGAGACCAGGTACGGCAGGGCGTCGGACCTGGCCCTTTCTCCTCTCATGAGGACCAGGTCTGCCGGGATGATGTTCTAACTTGCTAACCCATCTGGTCACAAGCCATAGTTCCTCGTTGTTTTAAGGATTGGGATATGAAGTCTTTCATCTTTACCAAATAACTTATGATTTCCCATCCATCCCCCAGCCTAGTTTTCAATCTGTATTTTTTATTAGGTGGTAGATATTAAGACACTTTCTCAATTTTACATTTTAGTCCAATAATCTTGCCATGTCTGCTAACAATGAGAAAAATAAGTAAATAAACCACAAATGAATATTCATGGAAAAAGTAGAAAAAGGCCAATCAGGTAGCATTTATTATATATCCTGAAAGGAACTCTGGGGTGAAGTTCATAATTTCCTATGGGGGGTCCTGACCTCATGGATGGAAGGATTTTTGGTTCACGAAATGCTCTCCAGGTGAGATGGAGGTGCCAGTTGCATGTACAAACATAGATCGCATGATTCAACACACATGCAATTAGCATCTCTTGTGAACTATGCCTTGTGCTGGGCACTGGAGGAAGTACTGAAATAAAATATAGCCCTTCATGGAATTTATGATCTCGTGGGAGAATCAAGGTCCAGGAAGCAGTTGGGGATGACATTTTAATGAAGTCCTGGTTGTTGATTTAAAGATGTAACACCCCGAAAGAGTTCAGAAGAGAGGTATTGGGGACAGCAGCGGCAGGGAGACATTGAAATTGAAGGATGAGTGGGATTCCGTTGACTAGGTAGTTACTCTAGAATTTCTAGAATGCTAAGGCACCCCTGAGGCTGATGGCGGGAACCTTTGGGGGACTATCTCTGGACGAATCAGGTTTGGGAGTTAGAAACTCTGTTCCCAGGCATGCCCCTCCCTGGCAGATTTTGGGCAAGTCCCTTCGCTGCTTTCTGTGCAGGTTCCACCGCCCACCTCCTTGCCTATCCATCATCGTCATGGAAATCAGTGTCCCTGGAGCGGCGGAGGCATTGTTTAAATTGGTTATCAGCAATCTCTCATGAGTCAGATGATTAGGGAACCGACAGCCTGCCCTCTCTGCCAGCACCTCCCAATGCCCGTGGGACCACGCGTGTGCCCTGGCCTCTGACATCACTTGTTTTTCGCCAGCTGGTTATTGATGGTTACCAGTGCCCTATAGAACAAGATGGAAGGCAATTAGCCTTAACCGCAGAGAGCATTGCACAGGCTAGCCATATTTGGGTTCCTGGAGGATACGAAAGTGCCCAGTTTTCAGTTACCTGCAGCAGCCATTCACTGAGCACAGGCAATAGAGTGCCAAGATAAGACATGCACCCACCCACTAAAAAAAATAACACGAGAGCCCTGGCCAGTGTGGTGCAGTGGATAAAGCGCCAGCCTGCGTACTGAAGGGTCCCAGGTTTGATTCTGATCAAGGGCATGTACCTAGGTTGCAGGCTCAAATCGTGCTCTGGGAGGGGACCCCTCGATGCAACCTTTCTCTTCCTGGCCCTGGTTGGGGGGCATGCGGGAGGCAACCAATTGATGTGTCTCTGTTTCATTGATGTTTCTCTCTCTGTCTCTTCCCCTCCCTTATACGCTCTCTAAAAAAAAATCAATGGAAAAATATCCTCAGGTGAGAATTAACAACAACAACAAAAAAATTATAATAAAATTAAAAAAGGTATTTAGGCCAAAACGGGTTTAGCTCAGTGGATAGAGCGTCGGCCTGAAGACTGAAGGGTCCTGGGTTTGATTTCGGTCAAGGTCATGTACCTTGGCTGCAAGCACATCCCCGGTAGGGAGTGTGCAGGAGGCAGCTGGTCGATGTTTCTCTCTCATCGACATTTCTAACTCTCTATCCCTCTTCCTTCCTCTCTGTAAAAATCAAAATATATTTTTTTTTAAAAAGGAAAAAGAAAAGGTATTCAGTCAAGTGGGGGAAAGAGACTTGTAAACTAGTCATTATACACAATGATCAGGTCAACAGCAGAAGGATTGACAGGATTCAGAGGTGTATAGAGAAAGGGGGGGAGGGCATAGAAGAGGTGCCATCTAAGTTGGTGCTAGCGGGTGGATAGAAAGGTGCCAAGAGAAGGTGGGAAGAGTGTCGCAGGCAAAAGAAAGGGACAGGAGTATTGGGGGCACTCGAAGGGCTTTGGAATGGCCAGGGCTGAAGCGTGAGGGCTGTTGTTCAGTGGAGGGTCTGAGCTCTGACCCCCCACCCCCACCCCAGAACAGTGAGGCATTGTTGGGCTCCTGATTGCTTCATGCGTTTTCCTGGTGAAATGCTGTCAAGGCTATCTATCTCTTCAGGTACCGGGAAGGAAAGAAAAAGCTAATTGGGTAATAAAGATGTCTCAAGGCTAGTCGCCTAATTGGAACTGGAAAAAGATTAGCGCTTGATTCTCAGAGTTATTCGCGCGGCTGCCAAGGGCAGCGCTGCCAAAACCAAGATTGCATCTCTGACGAGTTTTTACCGGTCAGCGTTGGGAACCTGTAGCGGGTTGGGTAAACGCAGTCTTGCACACGAGATGGGACTCTCTATTCCGGCTGTGTTTGGCTTTTGTTCCAGGAGGACTCACAGGGTTTTGCAACAGGCACAAGAGAGTCATCATCAGTGGCCTTTTTTTGGCTCTGAAATATGATGCAAGCAGAACTGTGCTCTAGGAGGGGAACATGGATAAACCTTCCCCTCCCAATCACAAATTTGGGGGGGGGGGGTTTCGCATCCTCATCTTTTGCAGTGAAAGTCTCCCGATAACCAACAGTTCCATGAAATTGCTCCCAGCTGCCATCTGTGTCGTCTTGTGCAGGTGACTTAACTTCTGTGTGCCTGCTCCTCGTCAGTAAAAGCCTAATATATTCCCTAAACGGTGAGCTAATCCTTATAAAACTTTGAGCAGCGCCTGCCGCATGGTACATGACCAAGAAGTATTCACTGCTACTCTTCTTCTAATTATTATTTCTTAAAATTATTTTTCAAATCTTTATTGTTGAAAATATTGCATGTCCCCCTTTTTCCCCATGGACCTCTTCTAGCCCATCCCCGACCCCCACCCAGGCCTTCACCACCCTATTGTCAGTGTCCATGGGTTAGGCATGTATGCATACAAGTTCTTTGGTTGACATTATTATTATTTTAAATATATTTTTATTGATGTCAGAGAGGAAGGGAGAGGAAGAAGGAGAGATAGAAACATCAATTATGAGAAAGAATCATTGATCGACTGCCTCCTGCACACCCCTCACTGGGGTTTAAGCCCACAATTCAGGCATGTGCCCTGACCAGGAATTGAACTTCTTGGGTCATAGGTTGACACTCCACCACCGAGCCATGCTGGCTAGGCTGTTACTATTTTTTAAAATTATTTACCTACCCATGCAATTCACATCTCCAGAGAATCCAGACTATTGGCGGCCAGAAGGGATAAGCCAGCGTCTGGGACTCTGGTTAAGCGCAGCCCCAGGTGTTTGCGGTTCCTGCCCTCCCCACACGCCAACCAGCTGCACCCTGTGAGCTCCTTAGTGCCAGGGCTTGTGATGTCCTGGAAATGCCCCCTCCAAGAGGAGAAAGCCTGCTGAGCCATGTCCTGGGCAGATACTCCTGCTGGAGGATCCGAACTTGCTTCCCAGCTTTATGGACCCAGCCATGAGTTACGTGGCTCTCCCTTTCCCATAGAGCTGCAGGGAAACTTCAAGCCAAAGGAGCCCGGAGCTCTCCCGCTAATGAGCCTGTGGCCTGGGCTCTGCTGGGAGGTGGGGTAACGGCAGATGAACACTGGAAAGTCAGAAACCACAGCGGCAGTGTCCGTATCCCTCGCACATTGTGCACAGTGACACGCTGGGAAGGGTGTTAGATTCAAATGCTCAGGGGTTTTGTGTTCAAATCTTGGCCCTGCCCTGGGATTGCTCTCTGGCGGCGATGAACCAACTCTGCCTGCTCAGCTCAGGTTCCTATCTAAATAATGGGGGAGCCGAAATCGGTTTGGCTCAGTGGATAGAGCATCGGCCTGCGGACTGAAGGGTCCCAGGTTCGATTCCGGTCAAGGGCATGTACGTTGGTTGTGGACACATCCTTAGTGGGGAGGTTGCAGGAGGTAGCTGATAGAGATGATTCTCTCTTATTGATGTTTCTAACTCTCTATCCCTCTCTCTTCCTCTCTGTAAAAAATCAATAAAATATATATTTTAAATTATATATACTGTGTGTGTGTAATGGAGGAGATAGAAGGCCACTCCCTGCACTGACATTGGGGGCTCGTTAGTCAAACTGCCCGTCCCCCTGCTAAGCACCTTGGACAGGAAGCAAGGCCTTGTCCTGCGGTCTTTAGCAAGAGGACATTTGATCTAGTGTGAGTGCTAGGAGGAGGTCTGTCCTTGGGCATGGCTATCAGAAGGAGATGGCATGTTAAGTGTTTTGCCCAGAGACAGGGGACCTTGTGTGCAATGGGTTGTCTGCCCTCGCGGGCCCGAGGAGACTAAAGGAGGCTCCTGGGATAACTGGGGAGCAGGAGTCCCGGGGGGAGGGGCCACAGGGTGCATGAGAGCGGGGTGCAGCTCCTAGTGTGGGGCGGTGGTGAGATAATTGCGTGTCAGGTGTGCTGGGAGGCAGGACCAGAGGTCGAGCATGGAAAGGAGCCAAGAGTGTAGGTATCTCCTAATTATTGCTGGCATGGGAGTGTTTTATTCCATTTAGAAAATGGTGTGATTGTTTTAAAGAGTGTGTGTGTGTGTGTGTGTGTGTGTGTGTATGAAAACAGCCAGGTGTGTCGATCCAAGCTGTGTGGGCAGTGTTCTCTAATTGCCAGACCGGACTTTCTTTTGCCAATTAGGTGGCTTCCTTAGGCTTGCCCTTTTCTAACAGGATTGCTCCACGGGGCACCTTCCCTCTGTGTAACCTCTTTCATACCGAGTGGAGCTGCTTTCAACATGTCAATTCCACCTTGGCACACGCAGGCGCTTTCAGCAGGCTGCGCTGAGATCAGCATCAGATACTGACACTGACTCTGGCGTGAAAAAAACACCAGGGATGTCTTCTCCCCCAAAGTGGATTCTGTCGACATCCACGCCTTGTTAGAGGTGCCCTTCAAACCTGTGTGTTTGGGTGGAAAGCACGGTGGTTGGGCGGGTTCCCAGCTCAGAGGTGGTGTTTGTTGAGAACTTATGGTTTTCCTCATACCGCACACAGAAATGAACTTGAGATGAATCATAGACCTAAATGGGTAGGCTAAGACAATAAAACTCTTAGAAGAAAGTATGAGTAAATATACATGACCTTGGGTGAGGCAAAAATCTTCCTAAATATAACACCCAATGCATAAGTAGCCAAAGAGAAGAAGAAAAAAAAAGAAATTGGACATCAGCAAAATTAAAAGATTTTGTGCTGTGAAGGACATCAAGAAAGGGAAAAGACAACTTGCAGATATTTACAAATCTTGTATCCGGTAAGAGGCCTGTGTCCAGAATACATAAAGAACGCTGGCAACTCAGTAATAAAAATGCAGTCACATTTAAAAATGGGCAAAGGATTTGAGTAGACATCTCTCTAAAGAAGGTAGACAACTGGCCCATGAAAAGATGCTCAATGTCATTCAAGGAGATGCAGATCAAAACAGAATGATACCACTTCACATCCACTGGGATGGTTTTAATAGAAAGAAGGAAAAAAAAGCACCATAATAACAAATGCTAGTCAGGATGTAGAGAACTAGAATCCTCATATGCTGCTAACTTGACTATGACATGGTGTGGCTGCTTTGGAAAATAGCATGGAAGTTCCTCAAAATGTTAAACATGAAGTCACCATGTGAGTACATACCCAAAAGATGTGAAAGTAGGGACATGAACAGGTATGTGCACATCCATGTTCATAGAGGCATTATTCACAATAGACAGAAGGCGGAAGCAACTCAAGGGTCCATCAAGTGTCCATTAACAGATGAATGGGTAAACAGAATGTGGTATATCCATACAATGGCTATCATTTGGCCATAAAAAGGAATGAAATACTGATACGTGCTATAACATGGATGAATCTTGAAGACATTGTGCTAAGTGAAAGAAGCCAGTCACAAAGGATGATATATGATATGATGCTATTCATATGAAATGTCCAGAATGGGCACATTTGTAGAGGCAGAGAACAGGGTTGGGGGGCAGAGGTTGCAGAGAAATGGAGAGTGGCTGCCCATGGGGATGGGGGTTTCTTTTGGAGGTGATGAAATGTTCTAAAGTTGGATTCTGGTGATAGTTGCACATTCTGTGACTATACTAAAAATCACTAAACTGTACACCAAAAATGGATGAAATGGATGGTATGTGCATTATATCTCAATAAAGCTGTGTTGTTGTTGTTGTTGTTGTTGTTGTTTTAAAAAAAGGACTATTGTTGATCAAATTACTACATTCATTCTTATAATTCAGCACCTGGAAGTACTCTGCTGCTGTTTTAGGAAGTCAATAAATATTTGGTGACTACATGGAGAGCTAGATCGAAGTTAGATGCAAAAAAGTGCAAAAATATTAGAGGCTTGGTACACAAAATTCATGCACAGGGGGAAGGGGGTTCCCTTTTTTGCACCCTCTAATCTGGGACCCCTCAGGGAATGTCTGACTGTTGGTTTAGCGGGATGGGGTCTAAACCAGCAGTCAGACATCCCTCTCACAATTTGGGACTGCTGGCTTCTAACCGCACACCTGCCTGCCTGCCTGATTGCCCCTAACTGCCTCTGCTGACCTGATTGCTACCTAACAATTCCTTTGCTGGCCTGGTGCCCCCCAACTGCCCTCCCCTGCCAACCTGATGGCCCCCAACTGCCCTCCCCAGCCCCCACCACTGTGGCTTTGTTCAGAAGGAAATCAAATGTCCAGAAGTTGGCCAGTTGATCCAGTCTAATTAGCATATTACCCTTTTTATTATATTTTATACATATATATTTAGGGAAAGAAACATCAATGATGAGAGAGACTAGGCTTCCTACTGAGGATCAAGCCCAAAACCTAGGCTGGTGCCCTGATTGGAAAGTTCCAGTGACCTCCTTGTTCATGGACTGATGCTCAACCACTGAGTCTCACCAGGCCAGGCACCAATAGTTGTGCAGGTCAATGTTTGTCTTTGGTGACTTTCTTAGGCTAAATTACTAGAAATAGAATTTTCGTGTCAGTGTGTGCACATTTTAAAACGTTTTTATTGATCTGAACTCTCAGCTTGCCCTTTGAGAAGGTTGTACCAACAAATGTTGACACTGGAGTGTGTTTATTTCCCCGCTTGCTACAAATATTGTCTCTCTTTTTTTTTTTTTTGTCTACTTCATTGATACCACATTAACATCTTCATTTTCATTTCTTTCCTCATTATTGAAGTTGGATTTTTTTTTATGCATTTGTGACCCTTTTCATTGATGCCAAAAGGTGTGTGATATTGACTGAAAGTGCGTGCGTCGAGCAGGTACAGGATGAAGATGTCTTTGTCGCCTGGAGGTGACAGGTGGAAGCTGCTTCTCGCCAAACTCCATCGCTGCTGGGAAGGAGTGGTGAAGTGGAGGGGAGGCGTTCTTTCTCGGGTCTAATGACCGTTTGTCTCCCATGTAGGTTCTTAAAGGTGGCCAGGAAGCGCCCACCAAGCCCAAAGGCCGCCCCAAGAAGAACTCCATCCCCACCTCTGAAGAGATAGAAGCCGAGGAGAAGATGCACAGCCAGGCCCAGCGCCAGGAGTGCCCCACGCCCTCGCCGGGACCGGAGGAGCCCTGTGACACCCAGGAACCTCCAGTCTGCCACGTCCCCTTGGAGGTGGTGGAGCCTCCGGGCCAGCCCCAGGAGCAGCCAGTAGCCTCTTCAGAACCCCCGCCACCACCAACACCGTCAAGCTAAAGGAAAACTATTGGAGGGGCAGGGGAGCCTGGGGAAAAGGGAAAGAGAGAAGGCAGGAGGATAGGAGAGCCAAACGCCCCGGAGCCTGGTAAAGGGAGGCAGAAGAGAGCCACCTGCCTCCATCCCTCCCTCTCTCCCACAGGTCTCAGTGGCATTTTCACCGCAAGCATTTGAGAAGACTGGCTTGCCTTAGGTCTCTCTCTCTTCCTGAAAGGATGCTTTAGCCACAGGATTGCCCTGCATAAAGGGAGACAGTGCCTTCGAACTGCCTGCCCCCGCTGAAGGCTGTGGCACTGGGTGGGCAGCCCACCTGGCTTGGTGGAGGGTGGCTCAGCTCTCTCCCTGCCAGCCTCTGGGCAACCAGTCGGCAAAGCAGAAAGATGCGGAGGGCCGGGGCAGCTTGCTCAGGTTCCTTGCTGACTCTGCACTTATTTCTGTAGTTTTTAAAAGAGGATTTCAGGTTTTTTGGTTGTTGTGGAGGGGTAGGGTGGTTGATGAGGGCGGGCTGGAAAGAGTCTGGGGAAGGGAGTTCTGAGTTATTCCCATTGTTTCTGAATAAAGTTTGCTTGTTTGAAGACACGTGTGCCTTGGAGCCCCTGATGAGGTTGTCAGGTGACTTGAAAGAACTGAGCAGCCTTGTTATTTTCTCACTTCAGTGAGTTGCCATCCTTGAAGCTGCCATGTGGACATGTTAAGATAACTTTTATTTTGTAATGAAAAATAAATCTTTCCAAAGGGTCGGGTGCATTGGTTTCTTCGGCGGAGCACGTGCGACTCCTCTTGACTATCTCATGGAAAGAGAGGACCCGGAGACAGAGCCCCGCTCCCCGGGCTGTGGTGTCTCAGGGCAGAGGGCAAAAGGCAGACCCACCAGTGCCCTTGGGTGAGGACAGGGCAGGTGGTGGGGACTCCTCTCACCCAGCTCCCACCGCCTCCTGCCAGCCCAATGCCATCAGGGGAGAGAGTCAATAGATGTGCTTCAAATATCAAGCTGTGTTATGAAAATATCTTGCATCCCTCCTGTCCCCTCTGCCCTGTGCCCGCCGCCCCCTCCAGGTAATGAATGTTGATTTGGTTTCTAGATTATGTTTCTGTACTCAGTGTACACTTGAATGACAGTTTCTGCAGCTCCTAACAGAAGGAGATTGGAGAAGGACTTGGCCAGATGTGCTCCGTGATTTCAAGTTTGAAAGGATGCCCCTCTTTTCGGAAGCCCCGGGAAGAGGCGGGCGGCAGACGTCCTACAGAGAATGCGGACTCTCAGCTGACTGCCCTGGGGGTTCACAGTCATCCTCCCCGGCGCGTTCACTTGTGATGTCCTCCAGGGCAGACCGCCTGTCATGAGCACTGTTCATGACTACTGACACGGTCCCTGTGCCCAGCGCGGGCTCAGCGAATAGCAACTGACTTTAATAATGGCTCCACTAGGAAGCAGAACCTGCTTCTAGTTCCGCAAAGCGAACCGTGCCATTCTTCTCGACGTGAAACAGGAATTGGCTGCTTGTGTCCAGCACTCAGGTCGTCCACACACACCCTCCCCTCCCCCGCATCCCCCGTCAGCGTGGACAGTGAGCACGTGACTGCCATGTGACCTGGCCAAGGCCCTGCCTGCACTGCTTTCGCAGTGGAGATCCACAAAGAGAGTGCAGTCTTTAGCCTTGACTCTGGTGAATAGACAAAGGAGGGAAGGCTTTGCCCTTGAGAACAGGTCTGTGCAGGCCACACCCAGCGTCTGTGCAAGGTCTCTTGTGTGGTGTGTGCAGAAGCTGCTTTGCCTCCAGCCCACCCCACCCCACCCCACATACAGGTTTATGATCTGCCTACCAGGTGGTGTCAGAATGGGCCAAAGAGTTTACAGAGTGGCCCAGGTCAGCAGGTGGATCTGTCTCACTCCTTGCTCTGTCCTCTTCACCCCTCCTGCCATCCCCAGGGGCCTTTCATTTGGATTCCATTTTCCTCCGAAGGTATCGGGTCTCTGGTCCTGGACTCTCATGTTATTCTTGTCTGAGGGGCTGGACAGTGACCCTCATGGCACGCATACATCTGTCCACAGTGTCCCTGAGCCTGGGTCCTGCCACTGTTTCTGACTTCCAGCCCCAAGCCCTATCCTGCCACCTTTGGTGTTGTCTCCTGTCCCTAAGGATTGGAAGGATTTCAGGGGAGGGTTCAAGACCTCAGATGAGCTCTCCTTTTGTTTGGGAGCCCTAAGCCCAAGGGCCAGGGCACTTTACCAGCCTTGGGCCTGCCTCATGCCTCAACTCTGTAGAGCTGTGCCCTGTGACCCAGGGTGGGCCAGGCTGGGCCTTCCCAATTGCCAGCAGACACTGGTTTGGCATGGACCCCTGCTCCCTCCTCTTTCCCTTTTGCACCCAGCACCCTCTTCGCCATATTCTATGTGTGTAGGTAGATAGTTGTTCTGTGCAGAGTCCTGAGCAGGGCCATCCAGTTCCCTCCTCACTTTCTCAGCTTCTTTCTGGGGTTTCCCAGTCACTTCAGGGGCAAGAGGGAGGGCAGAGCCAAATCTCTGTCATCTGCAGACACCTTCTCGTCACCCTGGGTAGCAGGGCTGGGCCAGTTTCCCCAGGGGCCAGAGGGCAAGGGTGATGGAAGTCCATACATGAAGGCCTCCATAACTAAGGGTCTGTCTGCTTCATTTTCCTCATTCCTGTGGGGAAAGGTCCTGAAGAAGATGCCCTCGGATTTCCTCTCAAGGGGACTGCAGGCCATGTGGCGGCAGTCAGCTTGGGAGGAAGACAACGCCTACTGAGACATTTGTCTAAGACAAAAAGTAAAAGCCTGCCTAGGCCAAAGTCATGGCCGTGCATTGGTGAGATCGTTTGACCTGGTTCGTGAGGCGATGTTAGGAGGTGGCTGAGGGAGGTGCGTCCATCCTAGGGAATGGCTAGAGGGCAAAGACAAAGGTCATAGCTGCAGTGAAATCTAAGACCTTGGGAGCACCATGCTAGTGCTACTGGAGAGGTGGAGTGCAGCAATATGTCTTCCCCTTCCCCTCCTCCTCGTTCTCCTCCTCTTCCTCCTGTTCTTCTTCACCTCAGGTTATTTTTCTCATTGAATTTTAGAGAGAGTGGAAGGAAGGGAGAGAAAAAGAGAGAGACTTTGATGTGAGAGAGACATTGATTGGTTGCCTTCTGCATGCACCCTGACCCAGAGCCACAGATTGAGCCTGCAACCGAGGTACATGCCCTTGGCCAGAATCAAACCTGAGACCCTTCACTGAGCCACACCAGCCAGGGTGAGCTTGAATATTCCTGGAGAACCTTCCACTTTAGTGAGTTTGGGGCGGGGGCAGAGGTTCAGCTAGATTTTTGCGAATTTCCACCTGCCCTCACCTGTGAGATGTCCTCTCTCCAGGCAGGAAAGGGCATTCGTGGGATGTACATCCTTCAGCATGCGCCACCCTTCCCCCTCCTCCCCCCAGCATGCCCAGCCCTAACTAGGGCCGCTAGGAGAGGGTTAATTCTTAGGCCCCTGTGCACCTGGAAGGGTGATTAACACTGGAGCAACAATTCACCTGGCTATGCCTCTAATCCCAGATTGTCACCCAAATCCTGGGTGGAGGTGGCTGGGGAGGGAGAGATCTGGTAATGCCATTGGTAATCTGGGTGTGGATCCTGAGGGGAAGTGTGGGCACCAGCCTGATTTTGTTTCTTTGAGTTCTGTGCTGGCCTCTCAGCGGGAAGTGCAGGCCAAGATCTCCCCTGCCTCCTCTCCCACCGCCTGCCTGGTCATTCATTCATTCATTCGAGCCCACCCAGCGGTGCTCTGGAGGGGCCTCCCTCTGGCTGCCCCGGTGGCAGCCTCAGGCAAACCCAGGTCAGCGGCAGCCAGGAGGGGCCGGTGCTGCGGTAAATCACTGTGACAGGCGCCTTTCATACCTGACCTCCTCTTGTTCCCAAACCTCTTCCCTCCTGTTTATTTTGGTTGCAGATTTATTAGACACTCGGTTAAGTGCCCATTTAGCTCTGCAAACTGTCAGCACGACCGCTCCGTGAATAAGGCCATTCACTGACAAAAGCCCTTAAACATTTTAGAAAGAGAAGGAGGGGAGGAAAGGGGGGGGGGAGGAGAGGAGGAGGAAATAGCGCCCCAGGTCAGCAAGGAGGCCAAGATCAACCGAAACCCAAGCGCCAGCCTCTCCTGCAGCCCAAGAATGTAACAAGGGCCCTCAGAGGAATCACCCTGCTCAGCAAGAGGTGTGTCATCTCTCCGCAGGCCGAGGGGGTCTAGAGTTCACTCCTTTGTCTCAGAGCCTGGGAGCTCACCGCCGGGCAGGCTGAGCGGCTGTGCACCTGCTCGGGGCGGTTGCCAACAACCTGGAGGCATGTCAGGCTGAGTCCTCGCCCCTTGAGAGCCCTCCTCCTGCCTCTGCTCAGGCTCCCCTCCTGCAGGTGGCATTTCTTCCTTCAACACACACACGGCTCTGCGGAAAGTGTCAAGACCCTAGTGCACTGTCTTTGTACACCAGCCATCATGGGTACTATTGACATCATGGCATCTAATGATCTATGCAGCCCTCTGAAGTAGGCTCTGCGATCACCTCCACTCGGAGATGGGGAAGCTGGGACCACGTGGTGGAACAACCACAGTGGCCTAACACAGCTGGACGGATGTACTTGCCATCATGCCTGGACTGGGCCTGTGCCTACTTGTGAGAAGGCTGAGTTGACCAAGCCTGATCTCAGGGCAGAACCCTGTGTCCCTCAGCTTCCCCTGCACGTGCTCCTGCCCCTGCTCCCACACTGTTGTCACTAGGGTATTTCTCATAATGTGGGGTGCAGACAGTATAGCTCAGGGTCCCCCCAAGTGTGAGTGATCAAGCCCTCTATCCACCCGGACCAGCAACAGTGCAGGTCCCGTCCATCTCTTACGGCGTGCAGTTTGGAGTGTGTGAGTGTGTGTAAGGTCATCCTTCTTTTGCAGTGGTGCAAGCATCCGGAGGAGACTCAGAGAGAGGGGTCATATCCGAAGCCCAGGAACAGAGCCGTGTCCTCACTATGGGGTGGCAAGCAGTGTCAGGGGTCATTGGCTTCCACCCCAGAGTGGGAGGGGCATAGAGAGAAGCTGGTAGAGTCCCGGTAGACGCTCCCTGGAATGCTCCTCTGCTCCAGCACTAGGTGCAGATGCTGCTCTTTCTCGGCAGTTCTTGGGATCACCTCTGAGGTCTAAGCCAGACTCGGAGCCCTGCCCCTCGGAGGCCCTGGAGCTCGCCTTCTCTTCCTCCTCCGCCTCCTCCTCTTCTTGGTTTCTCTTCCAGCCATTTATTTCTTTGTATTTGCAGTTTTTGTTTAATACAAATACAGGCCATCATAGGAGAAAATCACTATGCATCAAAGCATAGTTACACAATACAATATACCATTAAAACAGATGTTTAGCAGGCAGATACGAAGCACAAGGAGTGTTCATTTGCATATAAAAAGTTGGAGATGTGTTGGAGCTGGGTGTTTGGTATTGCTTTCTAAGGATGGCAAATATTTGCCTTTGTTATCAAGGCTATTGTGCTTGCTTGGACCCTGGAACACCAATGTGGTCATGGCATCAAAGAATTCAATGAGCCC